AAGTTGATTGTTGTGGGATGAGTGCATTATGGCTAACAGGAAGTTGATTGTTGTGGGATGAGTGCCTCATGGCTCATGATGAGTGCTTCATGGCTGACAGCAAGTTGATTGTTGTGGGATGAGCGCCTCATGGCTCATTATGAGTGCTTCATGGCTGACAGCAAGTTGATTGTTGTGGGATGAGTGGCTCATGATGAGTGCTTCATGGCTGACAGCAAGTTGATTGTTGTGGGATGAGCGCCTCATGGCTCATGATGAGTGCTTCATGGCTGACAGCAAGTTGATTGTTGTGGGATGAGCGCCTCATGGCTCATGATGAGTGCTTCATGGCTGACAGCAAGTTGATTGTTGTGGGATGAGTGCCTCATGGCTCATGATGAGTGCTTCATGGCTGACAGCAAGTTGATTGTTGTGGGATGAGCGCCTCATGGCTCATGATGAGTGCTTCATGGCTGACAGCAAGTTGATTGTTGTGGGATGAGTGCATTATGGCTAACAAGAAGTTGATTGTTGTGGGATGAGTGCATTATGGCTAACAAGAAGTTGATTGTTGTGGGATGAGTGCATTATGGCTAACAACAAGTTGATTGTTGTGGGATGAGTGCATCATGGCTAACAACAAGTTGATTGTTGTGGGATGAGTGCATTATGGCTAACAACAAGTTTATTGTTGTGGGATGAGTGCATTATGGCTAACAACAAGTTGATTGTTGTGGGATGAGTGCATTATGGCTAACAACAAGTTGATTGTTGTGGGATGAGTGTATTATGGCTAACAAGAAGTTGATTGTTGTGGGATGAGTGCATTATGGCTAACCTGAAGTTGATTGTTGTGGGATGAGTGCATTATGGCTAACAACAAGTTGATTGTTGTGGGATGAGTGCATTATGGCTAACAACAAGTTGATTGTTGTGGGATGAGTGCATTATGGCTAACAACAAGTTGATTGTTGTGGGATGAGTGCATCATGGCTAACAACAAGTTGATTGTTGTGGGATGAGTGCATCATGGCTAACAACAAGTTGATTGTTGTGGGATGAGTGCATTATGGCTAACGAGTTGATTGTTGTGGGATGAGTGCATTATGGCTAACGAGTTGATTGTTGTGGGATGAGTGTATCATGGCTAACAAGTTGATTGTTGGAATGGAAGCCTTGGACAGAACTATTAGGACATCCTGAAGAAGTAAATGCCACATGGGTGTGATTTATATTCTACTGACCGGTGACTTAAAACAGTCGCTACCCGGTCTTTCTCAGGGCTGATAATGTCAATGCCTGCCATCAAGTCGCTCCAAGTCTGATCCTTGCGAGGCAATGTGGGGGTTCATCTCAAAGGCGATCTAAAGGCCTGCGGAGTTGTCAAATCGCCTGCTCCAAAAGGACATGGGAATTGACAGGAAGATGAAATCTAAGTCAGTTGCCTGGTTGCGTGCTTCTAAATTCTAGGGGTGGTGGTGAATGAAAAGAGCTATGTCCAAGATAATCTGAAACTTGTTTGATCCATCACTCATGAATACTACTATATATTGCAAAACATTTTTAAAATGTATTTTACTTCTCAGCCACTCATATTTATTTGCTGCTCTTTTGATTCCCAAAGCAGAAATCCTTTATGTTTTAAATACTTTAACTTTTCATATAGACGTAATGAACTTTTCATTCACCTAAACACCATTGAAAAGCAACGATTTTCAGCTAGTTATAAAAAATAACAAATGTCGTAGGTGTAAATGAATGGCATAATTATGTTACGAAGATGGGAGATGTTTACAAAAGGCATCAAGTTTAAAAAAGGAAGTGGGATTTACCTAAAGACAAATTATGTGTCAGGTGACCAGGGCCCTCGAACATTTTAGGGGACCCACAACAAAGAATCCTTACTTTTTATTTGATGTTATCTTGAAAGGTCCAAATATCTATACAAAACAATTATAGAAGTAGAAGAAGAGACAAAAGTAAGAGAAATAACACATGCCGATCTTCCTTTTTTTTCCTGTCTCATGGGATGGTTACTATCAACGTTTAAAGGGAGGCTTTGAGCGACTTTGGTCGTGTGACCAAAGGAGCTGTAAGAGATAAAAAAGTTCGGGTTACAAGATAAAAGTTTGAAAAGATAACAAAATAGTTCATTGAAACCTTGTTTCTTGAAATTTAAAGATGTAAACGTAACGCCGGCCTTAAGGGATTGCGACCTGTGCCCCCGCACCGGGCGCCGTGACCATAGGGGCGTCCAGTAAATGCTCCTTTAACAAAAAACGCGCCGATAGTTCCGATCTCAAAGGGGCAGATTATGGGCGACCCCAAAGGTGGTGTGGAAATGGAACAAAGTACCGTAGAAAACTAAACAGTCTAAATTAATGACATTAATGTTCAAATGCGTATGGTTAGCTACATCTATAGCATCATAACACGTACTCCATAGCCTACGTCGTAATCGTAAAAAGAGCGGAGCCTTACAGGAAAGGAGGCGCTGAACGGGTGCTTCGCACAGGGCGAAAGTTTATCTAAGGCTAAGCCCGGCGTTGGTAGACGCCTTTCTGGGGTGTATCAATCAAGATAGTGACTTTTGGAGCTCCACCCGCTGCCACTTTTCGGATTGTTCATGCCCATTACATTCAAAGTTAGCCTAATAATAGTTTTTTCCGTATCACAACTTTGGGCCCCGAGTGCCCCCCCCCTCCCCCCCCTTTTTTTTTTTTTTTTTTTTTGCCCAGTGGCCGCAAGGGGTTGCTGGGCTCTGAAAACAAAACAAGTCGCAAACTTTTCTTCAGACGGAAACCATTAGAGGTATGATTTTGAGAGACTTTCTGTCGATGACAACTGTGGTGAATGGAATAAAAAAAATACTATCTCATCTAAACGGGTCAGCGACTAAGAGACCGGAAAAAAAAAAAAAGAAAGGAAAACAGGGAAATAAATAAGACTATATTTCTCAGCCAGGTTTACGGCCGTTGTTCTCCATGTCTCGGCTCCATATAGCAGCACAGGTTTTACCATAGCGTTAAAAATCCTTACTTTAGTCCTTCACCAACAACTGTCTAAGAAGGATTCTCAGAATTCACTGGCCAGACAAAATCAGCAACCAGGAACTGTGGCAGCGGACAAAACAGAAGCCCATTGAGGAAGAGATTCTCCAGAAGCGGTGGAGGTGGATTGGTCATACACTAAGAAAACCTGCTTCTAACACAACAAAGCAAGCCCTGAAATGGAACCCACAGGGTAAGCGGAAAAGAGGCCGTCCAAGAAACACTTGGCGCCGAGAAACACTTGGCGCCAAGAATTGGAGACAGACATCAAGAAAATTGGCCATGAATGGAAGATCCTGGAGAAGCTGGCCCAGGATAGAGATGCCTGGANTGTGTGTGTGTGTGTTTTTTTTTATGTCGTCTCATATAATATATATATATATATATATATATATATATATATATATATATATATATATATTAACGCAAAATACAAGTAGGCCTAACTGATATGCAGTGACGTAGAAGGGGGGTTCGAGGGAGGTGCCACGTTTTATTTAATTGAGGGGCTGCAATTTCGGCAAACTGACAAGATTTTTTCGTTGAAGGGATGTGGCAAAAAGCTTGACCCACCCCGGGAAACAACAACACTAACTACGCCATTAACATATAAGTTTTAGAAAAGAGGGGGGGGGGATTTTTGACTGTCTAGGGGTCTCCATGGGTCTAAATCCATCACAGGAAGGTGGTATTAAAATCCGGACGACTTAGGAGAAGGGGCGAGTGGTTAGTGGATGTAAGTGTTTGGCCTACATACCGTTACAGGGTTTTGAAAATTTAAACTATTTTAAGTTTTGCCTCATAGAATGAACGATACGAAACAAAGGACTGAAAAACAGTAGGATACCAAAGCTAATGATAAAAAAAAAATTATTAAGTTAGATTATACTTTAAAACTTTAATAAAACTACAAATTCAATCTTACAGAAAATAAGAGAGGAAAAAAATAACTTATCAACTTTCGTCACAGCGAGTGAAAGGTACAATCCAATATTAATTTACACGCACGTATAAAGAGTATAAACTTTAACATAAATAACGTCTCGTACCGTATATGTTAGGAAATAGGCCTATATTATATGCTAGGAAAGCTGCAGCCCTGTATATAGGGATTCAATCAGAACGAACTAGTGAAGAAATTCTAGAAATTGCGTCTCCTGGTAGCATTCTTTAGAACAAACAACGCATTCTAACTTAAAACATTTTCCCTATCAAGGGAGGAGTGGGTAAGGAGTGACACATCACATTTACTCCGTCTACGTCAATATCAAAGCAAAACAAAGGTCGTGGCTAAAAATAGGCTTTCGCATAATAATATGCCATAACAGCAGAAAGGATCTGTCAAACGTCCTCAAGCCAGCATTTTTTAAGGCTATTTGTTGCTTTAAGCGTGTATTTCAAATAGCTCAAGTCCTATGTGGTTGATCTAATTGCTAATTTCAACTTGTAACCTACTATTCAAGCTACAGAATATATTTCAATGTGTCTAACCATGACCCACTAGAGTTCTCGTAGGTCGTAGTCCAACTGCCACATGCCAACGCCTGCGGTTGATTATATGGCCCACATAATCGAGTGAGCGCATCGGCTTGATTAATGTAGAGCATGCCCCCCCCCCCCCACTTTAAAAAAAAAAAAAAATTTTAAAATTGACCTTTTTAATAAAAAAGGGAATTTTTTTCACTATATAAACTTTAATCATAATACATATAGATTATTTTTAAATATGGCTGCATCTATCGGTACTCGGGTACCTATAGCCACTTCGTACATTAATTGGTGTGGGAAGGGATGCGGGAGGGCGACATTTCAATGGGAGGGGGCGGCGAAAAGCTTAGTCTGACCCGCGCACTACTGACTAATCCCTTTCACCAGCTACGCTACAAGTTATCGCTGTGTAGAACTAACTTTTTTGTTCTGTCATGATAAGTTTTAGTGCTTTTGGGTCTAAAATTTCATTCCCCAGTGTAAAAATTTAATTTTTAATTGGTGGAAACACGGTCCCTTTTATTTTTATATTTAATCTGTCGTCCGGGCGATGTACCTTCAGAATACAAATGCTGGACGGCTAATTTTCATGGGGGAAAATTAGATCTCTAGCCGTATAGCGAAATATAACATTTTTTTTTTAAGGTTTGTTTTGTTAAGAACTTAAGAGTAAGCTACCTTTGACCGTTGAATTTAATAAACCAAGTCTAAATCTACAAGTACCCTAAACTAAAGATAAAAACAAAAAAGTGTAGTAAGTAAAGTCTAAGTCACAAGTTCACTGTCATAAAAAATCAAGTGTAACTTGTAAGTGTCTTAATGCTTGAACTTAGGAATTGAAAATTTCTGTCTCGTCAGGCAGTGGTCTGGTTTGGTTCATTCTTGGCATCTACTAACTTTACAAAAATTAAGATTGTTTTACAAAGTTACACTTTAAATTTAAAAAAACGTACACAGCTGAGTAAAATAAATAATAAAAAAAGGCACACTCTAACTCTAAGACTCTAAGGGCATTATAATTATAAGCCTAAGAAAAAAGAAGGAATAAGGTAGATAGTACTGCTCTTTTTTCTTGTTCCTGAATTGACTGCATTTGGCATTTAGTGACGATTTATTTTGGAAATGCCACTTAAGGAGGGGTCATGGTTAATACCACCAAGAACAAAGAAAATTCCATGGCTGTGGAGAATTTCAAGTCGCTTCACCGTATCTTTTGTGGGTTTGTACAGCAAAGTATGGTTAGGTAAGTAAAGTAAGTAGGCCTACACTGCTTATTTAGCCAGCAGTTTTAGTTTTAAAGTTAAAGGCATATACTTAAGTTACTTGACAAAACATGAACTCAAGTAACGCACATTTCAGAATCCCAATTTTTGCTATACCCCTTTCCTCCATGATATGTCATTGCACACTTTATTTCACGTCCATGAACTATATTAAATATTCTGATGTCCCAACCACTTTTAAACTGAATATTTTTACACCATACTTAAATTGAAACGATTTCATTTCCTGAAAATAAAATATTGGGCACCAAACACAGTTGCGTTATTTAAAAAAAATCATTTAGTGTAACTGCCAGGAATTATATTTTGCGTGCTATTGAACTCATTATTGAACTATACTTTCTTTCAAACATATAAAATTATTTCTAATATACTCTCAATACCAAATACGCTGAATAGGAAGCAGCCAGAAATGGAAGCAGTACACAAGTCGCACCAGAAGCGTAATATATATAAGAGATTCTAATCATTTAATTAAATTTTCAAAATTCACTGACGTTAGTGACAGCACAGTGAGTGTTTTAAGTACTAATATAGGCTATTGTATAGGCATAGGTTCTTAATTTGAAATTTAAAATAGTGTCAGATTGCTACAAAAATACCCGGTACACCATTTTAAAGAGCTGGTTCACACCGGTGTAGTGCAAAAAGACCAAAATAATATCATCTTTCTATGTGGTAAATAATAGGCATATAAAAATAATGATGGTCTAAAGAGTCTGACTTCTGTTAAATAACAGTGTAAGAGTAAGAGTAAGAGCCATCCTTAAATGTTGTCACATACCTGGGGGCATGGTGTGTCACAAGTTTGTGATGTATGCCAAGGGTGTCTACATTTGTTTACAAATTTGTGACAATGGGCTGAAAGTATGGGGGAGGGGGTAAAAAATTTCCCTAAATAGCATGACATCATTTATGGATGGCTCCTAAGAGTAAATCTTAAAAGCTAATAGTCTTTAGTATTAGCATTTATCTTTCAAACAAAAACTTTAAATTACCGTAACAGTAATCTTATAAATATTATACCAGTTCCATTAATAGTTTTTAGAATTTAGGCCTATTATAGCCCATATTGTATTAATAGGCTGAAATGAATTATAGGCTACCAATACACTACTACTAGGCCTACCTGTACTTAATTACTAAATTAGTATACTAATTGCTAGTACTAGGGTAATGCTTTCTATTTATAATAATAATCCTTCACCTCATTAACACATACTTTTTTTGTCAGTTTGGTTAAACAAGGTTCAAGTTCACAATAGTGAAGTTCTTCAAGATGTTTTGGTTAAAAGACCAAAAGGCAGGGGTCTGCTAACTGTCAGTAATCATACAAGTTGCCTTGATGATCCATTATTGTGGGGTAATTATTTCAGAAATTCTAGAAAATTAACAATTTTTATTTGCTCAAGATCTATCATCTAGAAAATGTAGTTCCACTGAAGGAAAAGCAGTGATTTGACTATGGTAATACTAATACCTAAAAATTTAGGTAAAGCATTAGTTATGGTAACACTAAAATAAAGTATGTTGGATTGAGTTACTCTCCATTTAACATAGCATAACTAACAAGCATTACCTATTCAATTAATAATTAAATAATTTGATGAGAATATTTCATCATCATCATCATCGCCTGTCGTCCCGTCTGGGGCATAGGCCACAAACAAAGGCTCTCCAGGCATCCCGGTCTTGGGCAAGTCTCTCCAACTGTCCCCAGTTGTGCCCACTCTTTTTGATGTCTGCCTCCAGTTCCCTTCTCCAAGTTGTTTTGGGTCGACCTCTTTTTCTCTTACCCTGGGGGTTCCAAGTCAGGGCTTGTCTCGTGATACTTGATGCGGGCTTTCTGAGGGTGTGGCCAATCCATCTCCATCTGCGCTGGCAGATTAACTCTTCCACTGGTTCTTGTTGTGTGCGCCGCCAGAGATCCTCGTTGGTGATGACGGTGGGCCAGCGGATTCGTAAAATCGTTCGGAGACATGAGTTGATAAAGGTCTGTAGCTTTTTTGAACCAGCTGCTGTTGTTCGCCATGTTTCTGCCCCATATAGCAAGACAGGTTTCACTGTGGTGTTGAATACCTTGACCTTGGTCTGGAGGGTCAAATTGCTGCAGCTCCAGACCTTTTTTAGCTGGTTAAATGCCGCTCTTGCCTTACCAACTCTCACTCTTATGTCGGCGTCTGTCCCTCCTTGTATGTCAATGATGCTGCCGAGGTATGTAAAGCTATCCACCTCCTCAAGGTTTGTTCCTTCCAGTGCTATAGGTGTGTTGCTTGATGTATTTATTTTAAGGACTTTGCTTTTTCCTCTGTGGATGTTCAGGCCGATGCAAGCAGAGTACTGTGCTACATAATTGGTTTTCTCTTGCATCTGTTGCTGTGTGTGTGATACTAGGGCCAGATCATCCGCAAAATCCAGGTCATCAAGTTGTTTCCATAGTGTCCATTGAATACCATTTCTCTTCTGCTCTGTAGACATTTTTATTATCCAATCAATGGTCAGCAGGAATAGGAAAGGCGAGAGCAGACACCCCTGTCTGACACCGGTCTGTACCTCAAAAGCCGCCGTTGTTTGCTGGCCGTGGACAATTCTGCACGATATTCCTTCGTAAGAAGCCTTAATTATGTCTGTCAATTTTTGTGGTACCCCGTAGTGTCTAAGCAGCTTCCACAGAGTCTGTCTGTCGACACTATCAAAAGCCTTCTCATAGTCAATGAAGTTGACGTATAGTGGCGAGTTCCACTCCAGAGATTGTTCCACAATAATTCTCAGTGTGGCAATCTGGTCTGTGCAGGATCTGTCTTTTCTGAACCCTGCTTGTTGGTCCCTAAGATTGATGTCTATTGCCTCCCTCATTCTGTTTAGCAGCATTCTGTTGAATACTTTGCTTGGGATCGACAGCAGGGTTATTCCCCTATAGTTAGAACAAGAACTAATGTCTCCTTTCTTCGGGAGCTTAACGAGGTGTCCTTCTTTCCATTCAGCCGGTATCTGTTCCTCCTCCCATATTTTCTTGAATAGTGTGTGTAGCATTTCAGTGCTAGACGTAATATCTGCTGTCAAGGCTTCTGTCGGTATTCTGTCAGGACCTGCCGCCTTGCCTTTCTTTAGTTGTTTAATTGCTCTGCATATTTCTTGCTTTGTGGGTGTGCTGCACTCTATTTCTAGATCTTTTTCCGCTGGCTCTATGTTGAGTGTGTGTTGTGGTGCTGGCCGGTTGAGGAGTTCTTCAAAATGTTCTATCCATCTTTTTTTCTGACCCTCTTCATCAGGTATTGATTTCCCATCTTTAGTTTTAACTGGTCTCACTGGATTGTTGAACTTTCCAGATAACTTTTTGATTGTACTGAATAATTCTCTTGTGTTTCCATGGTACGCAGCCTCCTCTGCTTCACTTGCTAATCCTTCTATGTAGTTCTTTTTATCTGTCCTTATACTACGTTTAACTTCTTTATTTGCTTCTGAGTATTCTGTTGATGCTCTGGCCTTTTCGGTTCTGGTGCGGCTATTGTTTAGATTTGCCTTCTTCTTTCTCCTATATTGGATTTTTTCCATGGTTTCAGCAGAAATCCATTCTTTATGCGTTTGTTGCCTAGGGCCCAACACTTCTTCACAGGTAGTCGTGAATATCTCTTTGATTTCTTTCCAGTTTTTGTCAATTGTTTCTTCATTGCCTAGTTCCTGTAAGATCTGGAACTTATTGGAGATGGTAAGTTTAAACTCCTTTAGCTTGGACTCATCTTTCAAGAGGTTGATGTTAAAATGTTGGCGCTTGCTTCCCTCGCTTGTCCAGTTCTTTTTCAGTTTCAGCCTTAATTTGGCAATAATTAGATGATGGTCTGAGGCTACATCTGCCCCTCTTTTTACCCTAACATCTTGATGAGAATATTTGGTCATGTAAAAATTGTTGGTTACAGTTACAGGGAACAAACTCTACTTTAGATCAGGCCTGCACAACTCAAAATGTAAGGCGGGCCGTAATGCATTATGAAAAACTTTTGCGGGCCAAAAGAAAATAGGACAGGACTTGAGCGGGCCAATAAAATATAGGTCAGGGGAACAGCTATTAAGAAAATAAAAAGAAAACAAGTTTTTCGCTACCTCGCAGGCCGCTGGTGCTGGCGGGCCATAAGCGGCCCGCGGGCCGTATGTTGTGCAGGCCAGCTTTAGATGATTGCTTACCATTTAAAGACATTTAGAATCAACTGCATACACAACTAGCTTCAACATAAGCCTTGTTTTCCCATGCCTTTTTGTTTCCATTGACTTTCACCAGGGATTTTGAAAACAAGACAGTTAGTTAATAGGGATTTCATGAGATGGACATCAGCTGCTGAGGACATCTGTTTTAATAATAGAATGACATCATTGTTTTTTTCATTTGGAAAAGTCTTCCCCATTGTGCGAGGGGATGGAGTTTATCAGAAAGGAACTGATTTTGCTATTGAACAGTTGGATTTCGGAAAGTGGGTCCACTTTTTCCCAGAAGGTAATAAAAAATTGCATGCCTTTAAATTTTACATTATACCCTACTTAAACTTAAATTACATTATACTTTGACGGGTACTTAAATGTTCTTGTTTAAAAATATTTTATACCATTGCTAAAATATATTTTTAAATACCGGTATAATTTTTAAAGAATTGTTGATATGACAACCCAGTGGTACAATCTTAACACTGCATTCCTCTTAACCAAGAGCTGCATGAAATGGGCTCTTTAGCAGTGCTGAATTAAGCCACTTAGAGGCCCCTTGGCAGACAAAATTAGGGGTTCTACATAAATTATCTCTTGGTGGAGATCCACCATTTTAAGTTGAATTAAAATGTTTGTTAAATGAAAATAATTTTTTGTTTCACATTTTTCTGCCATTAATTCTAAGTCATTTTACACAAACTGATTCATGCGCGACCTCTACGCTTCACCTACCTGTAACGACATTTCACAACTCTAGCATCATATTGTTAATCTTTACTATAAGCAATATTAAACTAGATCATTATATTAATTATTTACAAAGGCACATTCCAACATTAGATTGGATTATTTATTTCAATTTTTTGTTCTTAAACTTGAAAGTTAAATGCATTTTCATTTTGAATTTTTCTATTAATAAAATTAATTGTTTCAACTTCGAATATTTTATGCTCAACTTTGGAGTTCATTACAAGTACTTAGTAGACATTGTTTAAATTAGACATAAAATACTTGAAATACAGCATTTCTTTTGCAAATACCAACTAAATGACATCAGGATAAAATCTCTCTCAGTCTTCGGGCAGCTTCGTTAATTTATTTTACTGTCATTGTAATTCAATGAGAAATCTCAAATATAGAGAATTAACTTTGTTATTAGCAGTCAGTTCCATTGATCTGGTCCAGAAGGCTGTCATAACCTTCCATTTTAGCTCACTTTGCAGACATTTTATTGCATGAATTGTCTCCTGGCCTGTGATTCACATCTTCAGCAATTAATTTGAAAGCCTTCTTAAAATAGCTGTGGCCATGTGATGCCTTGGTTGCATCAGCCTATGCACTCAACATCATGTCATGCTCCGTTTTTATATTTAGTGGAGATTTTTGTGATATTACCCATCTTTGTGCTCAACAGTGTCAAGATTTTGAGTAAAACTGCCCAAAGGTGGTTTGATGATAATAAAATTTGTGCTTTGCTTGAAAAAGCCACAGTCATTAAATTCTCAAAAACAGCCATCATCAGAACCATATTGAGTGTGTATGCTGATTTAACTTGAAAAACAGTGGTGGCAAGCTATTTCCCAATGGGGCTATAAGAAGCCTCATTGGGAAAGAAATTGCCACCACTATGGGAAAGATGTAATATAATGTTCTGCCACTTAACCTTCCAATTTCCAAACATATCTAAACAGTACAGTCAGTTGGTCAATGGGAGATAAATCTGATGTCCAATCAACCTGTTTCAAGAAAAGTACTGGTTTCCTTCACAATAACTTTCAGAATCCAAGTTGAAATTATTTAAATGAATGTCATCAAGCTGTATATTCAATCCGTATGTTTGATCTTAAGCCTCATTATCTTTAAAAATGCAATGGTCCAAGCAATACAGCAAATTCTGACTTTGAAAAATTGGTACCCGGTATAAACTATTTTATCAGTTAAAGCCTTTTATATGTAATCTTTTAAAACTATCAAAACTTATTTCCATTCTCTTCCCCAATTTAACCTTTACACTACCGGTAGAGATATTCAAATTATTACTATATTGGGTTTATAGAAAAATAAAATCTGTTTTATTACAGTAATGAAAATCATTTCAGACAACGGCAGCTACATTATGCACTCTCAACATCATAGTTAATTTTATTGCCTCTTTTCCCGCTGTCACATTCCTTGCACTTTTAATTTCCATTCATCAAAAGATGACAGTTGCTCAAAATCAAAGCCACTCTTTTTCTGATTTTGATAGACTATGTTGCTGCAACCAAGTACTGTCATATGTGCAACGGGTATGGGAAACGATGAGGCTATCCTTACCGCTACTAACGGGTGCCAGGGCAGCCTTGAAACTCTCGATTGATTTCGAGTCCACAGCGGCATTTTATGATCACCTTCCCTAAAGCAATTTCCGGCCGGCACTGCAGTGCAATGTGTTCCTTACATTTTTATTTTTCCATCTGCTCTGAGGAGCCTGTCACAACAGTACATTACGTCATTACATATACTTTCAAATTCAAGATCAATTGATATAAGGTCACAAATGAGGGTACTACAAGCCCACTTACAACATCTACATTTAATATTCCGGAATCAAAAGTTAGTTATCAGTTGAATATTGGAAACTTACTACAAGCTGATTGTTTTATTTGTAAATTCTTCTGGTAAATAAGGCAATATTGCTAAATAAAAAGATATTAGAGAAGCTATTTATATAATTTTATTGAAGTTTATTTAATATATTCTTCATTGTTATGGTATCTTTTTTTATATTTCAGGAAAAGTTAATATGACTTTGGAGTTCGTGAGATTAAAATGGGGTAATTGTTCAAATTTAATTTTTCATTTGTTTTGTATCATCAGTCTCACCCTATTTTTAGTCCTGTTTAGTCACATGTTTGTTGTTCAAGGAGGTGGCTTATGTTTATTTTTTTTAATATAAATGGCTTGATAAATTATTTTTCTGTAACTATTTTTATAATTTTTTAAAATCACCAACTTCTTTAACAGGTGTTGGACGAATAATTGCTGATTGTAAGAAAACACCTCTTGTGTTGCCTATTTGGCATGTTGGTAAGTTTCCATTATTTAAAACAATCATCCCAAATTATGCTTTTTAAAATGTGATGTTTAAGCATTAAAATACGCACAAAATATGTACATTAATGCACAAATTCTGCAATAATTATACTGAAATTCTGATTATTTATCACTAATAAAGTCAGCTGTCACCTAAAGTTTCCAATTATTTACAAAGAGGCTCTAAAAATATTACCAAAAGTTTAGTAATTCTTGTCATACCTTCTGCTTTAAGTTTAAGTAGGGTGTGGAAATGCTACAGTAAAGAAGATTGCATTTCAATTTTGGTGTTTTTTTAGGCGTTTAGATAACAATTACAATAACTTTCAATAAGTGAAATATATTTGAATTGTAAAAGTAATGAATAATAAAAACAATACAAGTGGTTAAAAAAATCCTGTTTTTAAATTTTAACATTATCTCCCCCTCTTTAATTAAATATCTCAAAATTAGTTGTGTGATAGTTGCTATCCAAGTCCCTGGAGTTGCTAAGATAAGTGCCACCTAGGCATGGACAAAATTTTTGCCATTCCCCTGAAAAAAATTTCTTTAGTTGGCAGAAAATACAGCACCTCCATAAAAATAAAAAAAATTGGCCCTAGGAGGACTGACCCCTTCCATGCCCACTTTCTACGCAAGTGTCCCAGAGACTGTATGTCCTACTAAAGTCTTCAAATTTCATCTCTGTGGTAATATGCCAAAAGTCAGGAAACACCTGTTTACAGTGATTTGAATTTTTTAGGGTGGGGTGAGAGCTTATTTTATGTACCCATAAGGGGGTATGTCCCTAAAAGTATTTGCGCAACAGAGGGAGGAGGTCTTAAATTTGGCTTTTTTCGCTGTAGTTATCTGGATGGCCCCAAATAGATTATTTATTACAGCATTACGATTCTCAAAGTTGTGCCCAGCATACACTAGAAAAATCTACTAAGTGTACATTCCATAAATAATAAAGTCTTTGTATAGAGATGATCTTTGGTACAGGTGTTATTTTTAATATAACTCCATAATTACCTTCCAGGTATGGAACAAATTTTACCAAATCGCACACCATACATTCCTTTGATAAAAAAGGTAAGGTCATTTTAATTCAATAATAAATTATATAATTTATTTTGGGGATTATGTTTATGAAACATGCAATTTTAACATAAATTTAAGTTAAAAAAATGTCTTGGCAACTATACCTGCTATGAACTGATTTAAATGATGTTCATGAGTTCACTTATGAAAAGAAACACCCTTGATCTTAATCAGCAAATTTTATTTCGTTATCAGTACCTGTATTATTAATATATATTATCATTATACATATAAATTATAAAAGTAAATAAATTATATTTTTTCTACTGATGTACATATAAATATTTGATATTTATTTAATGAATACTTTTAGTTACCGGTACTGTACAAAGTCACTCAAAATGCTTTTTTCCCCCTTGTAGAAAGTAACCTACCTTGTTGGAAATCCTCTAGACTTTGCCAAAGACGTGGAGTTTTTAAAATCTACTAAAAAGACTCCGGTAAATTTTATTAATGATTTTTACTTTTTGTAGTCCTTACCTTACTGCAAATACTTAGTGAAATGAATGTAGTATTATATTTATAATTTAGGAATAGTCTATGATTCCTTTAATTTTACATGAAAATATATTTCAAAAAGAAAACAGTTGTTAACTTTTTCTTAAACTACTTCACTGTGCAAATCATTGAAATATCAGTACTAGTAAGTTAGTAGGAATTCATCCCTTAATTCAGTGGTTCTCAACCTTCCTAACGACGTGACCCTTTAATAGAGTTTCTCATGTTGTGGTGACCCCAGCCACAAAATTATGTTCGCCGTTACTTCATCAATATAGAGCATATGTGTTTTCAGATGGTCTGAGGCTACCCCTGGGAAAGGTTCGTGCAACCCCCCAAATGGGTCGCGACCCACAGGTTGAGAACCGCTGCCTTAATTGTTCATAAACCATTTCTATATTATTATTTTGTAAACTTCTCAAAACTCTTATTTAATAAATGAATTTACTTGTAACATATCATCTACCGGCACTTTATTTTCATTTTTTAGTAAAGCTTTTGGAAATATTTTATACAAGCATGTATTGATCTAACTCTAAGTCATATTACAAGAATTTAATATAAATTGCCAAATTTGCAAGGTATCCTATTATACAGATAATTGACTTAAAATACTTAAATGTAATAGCTTAGCCATTACTATTAGCCATTGCATAAATTAGCAATAAGTGAGGCAATCCGAAAACTCATTTAATGTTATTCTATTGCTACTACTACTAGAGAATTAGTTGGAAACATTTGTTGATTCTGACATGATAGGATGTCTTACTCATTTCATTTAATGAAGTAACCATATAAACTGGTTCAATTTAAATTTGCAGTTACTGGTACCTCATGTTAAATTTTCTTTTTCTTTCCAGGAAGAAATTCGGAAATACATTACAGATAAAATACAAGAGGAAATGCTATCAATGAGAAATGTGGCTGAACATCTTCATAAAGAATTTACTTTATTACAATAGACTCTAGTTCGACATATTCAGCTGTATTATAATAATATAATGTATTGACTTCCCAAACGCTTTCATGGAAGTGTAAGACTTAGTGTACAAATATTGTTACAATTTTCTATATGAATAATATGTACTTTAATGTGACCTATGCAAGGTTAACAACATTATGATAACTATGTGAGAAAATTAGGGAAATGTAGCATCAATCACCACTTCATATCATGTTATTTTCTTGTCTTAAGTTCAATTTTAAAAAAAATTAAGTATCAGGTTTAATTTTCAATATTTTTCTTAGATAGATTTTATTTATTAAATGTTTTGTTGTTTATGCTAATCCTATAATTAACATTTCTAAAACAAAGACAAAAAAAAAAAAAAAGAACACCAAAACTAAAGAAGTAAACTATGGTAATCTTATTGTCATACTGTGTCAATGATCAAACAGGAACAATTGAACCAGACTGATGCAGCTGTAATTGTTAATCCATAGCATTTAACACCAAATAAAAAAATTGAAGTGATACTATCTTTTGTTGGGTAATTTACATGAATTTAAAACAAGAAATAATTTCCAGCATGAAGTGATGTGTGCGAAGTAATGTCCAACAAATTGATTGCATCTTTGAGCTACTCTAATTTTAAAAACAATAAATGCACACACACCTTAATATAATATGTCAATGTTTAAATTATTAAGTTTGAAATTATGGCCAAGAGAATCAAATTTATGAAAACTATTTCCTCTTTCAGAGTTTCATCTAAGCTAAATGCACTACCATTTTAATCTGCAATTAAAGATATTATAATTATAATAGCATATGTGAACACAATCCAGGAAAAATAATGTTTGCAGAGCCCCACACCATAACTTCCACTGAATAAAATAGAATCTGCAAGTCATTGTACAAAAGTAACTTGGATGTTTATTAATTTTAATACAAAAGCTTTACTTCACGCATTTACATGGAAAAAGGCACTGCGAGTTGTCTAAGAAGCCATTTAAAAATTTGACAGCATTTACTGCAGCGAGGTTCACCTAAAAATGTCAATAAAACAAGATAAAAATGATGTGCAAGAGAAAAAGATGTCTGGGAAGTAGATGTTTTGCTAAATAAACCTTTTAGCTCTGGGTCTAAAACATACAGGTTAATTAAATGTGTAGTAAATAGTTTTCCAGTCACAAAATATAAATCTTTGGCTATAAAAAATTTACTCTAGATTAGATGCTGACAAAATAGAAATAACTTAAATCAGTATCTAGGTGCAAAGTATTGAATGTTAAAATTAGCCAAATAAGTACCATACTTGAAGTTTAAAGTGGATCTATGATTATTCCCCAATAATGCACTTTAAAATCCCTAAAAGTTACTCAAAGAGAATATTGTTTTAAGAAAAAATAGATTTAAGCAGGCATTTTAGTTGACCTACTTCTGGCCATAGGTGGATAGACAATGACACTGCTGATCTTACAATATGAACATTAAAAATAATTAATAAATTTGGTTACTGAAGGTTGATGACTTGTTTTATTTTATGTTTGTTAGAGGAATCAAATCCAATTAAAAAATTTATCACAATAGTCTGCTCTTCTTCTTTTTTTAAAAATTAAACATATCTGCTAGGAGCATGAAGCCAAGTATTAGGACATATATATTTTTGCTGAATAATTTAATATCTCCAGAAACTAGCTGTTCAAATATAACTTATTTGCTTGCTGTACACTAGAATCTAACATAAATTAAAAAATAAAAATAAATTATGCATTTATTTGATAGACGTGCAGCAGGCATATCTATCTCATTATGATACTACTTTATGATCTACTATATTGCAGGGCTGAGTGCGCCTGCTGACCAGGACAATATCTGACCAATGAAAGGGAACCAGATGTTTAAAAAAAATCGTACTCCTATTTTTATGTTCTGGCATAGAATTCAATAAGAGGGATTTAACATGAAATTAATAAGTGCAGGAAACAACTGAAGGATGGCTAATATGGTACTGCCACAATGATGATATAAATATTTATTAAAATAATGTGTACGTTGGTAAAAGGAAAATGAAATCTACTACCAACCAGCAGCACTTACACAGATATTGCAGCTCCACTCCATGTTTCATTTTTGGTATGTTGATGGGTTAGAGTTATATGCTATTAGTGTTTTGAGGCCTTCAATTTTGATAAATACATGATCTTTAAACAATGCATGCAGTTTTCAATGTTCCTTATTTCTCATTTTTTCCATAGATAATTGCTTAATTGTTATACCTGGACCTGCATCTGCTGGGTATGGGTCTCAAAATACCAGGACAAAAACTGTACCCGGCTCAGCCCTACTATCTACTTCCTGCATGTTAGAAAAAAAAAGTCCAAAAATATTTTAAATAACTGAGGCCAGTTCTAATACATGAAATGTACCAAGTTACAAGTGGTGCAGCCAGGGCCAAGTGAAGGAGGCACCCATGGCCATTTTTCTTGCAAAATATGTGTATTAATACAGTGTATACTTCTTTGGAAAGAGGGTGTCTAAGTTGAAGCTTTGTCTCAGGTGCAGCTTTTGCTTGCCACAGCCCTGGATGCAACATATCAAATTTTAACAATTTTCTTTACATAGCAAAATAAATAAATCCAAACTGATCACGTTAACCATAAACGTAATCAAAGTACAAGATTGCACGACATACTAGCTAACAAAAAGCAGGCAATTACATCTATTTTCTTTATAAGTTGTTTACATTTACCTTGGGCTGAATCAGATATCACATCTGCCAAGTTAATATTATTTTTTAAAAATATATAAAAATGGGGTGGCTGATTGGTAGTTTATCTTTTCTTCCTTTTAAGCTGAGGTTTCTTAGCTGCAAAACCATGAACATTGTAATTTGTCATCAAATTCAAGTTGATAGGCTGTGAGATGACTGGTTCCTGAAGGGCAGTGCGCAGAACATTATCATTTTGTTCCTGAACTTTCTTTTCTTTTTCAATAACATCCTCTACTGCTTTTTTCAAAGTTTCACTAAACCTGTTCCGAACAATTCGTAACTGCTCTTTTGAAGGCAATGTCTGTATTTGAGAAAAGTCCCTTGAAATTTTTATCTTATTAGGGGGTGTGCGAGGTGTCATTCTTAAGCAGATTTGATTGTTAAACAACTCAGTGTGGGGGCGTAATAATGTAAACTGAGGCTCAACCTTAGATTTTTTGGATCCGGAAGTGTTAGAAACACTTGTTGAAAGAGATGTGGTGTTTTGTGGGTTACTAGGATTTGTTCCTGAAGAATTAAAGGATTTGTTATGCTTTTGTTTTAAGCTTTTCCCCTTTCCTTTACTGTTTGACTTTAAATTTAACACAGTAGAGCTGCCCTGGTTAGTCCAACTTGATGGAAGCATAACAGGAAAATCTTCATTGTCTTCTTCATCGAGCTGTTTTAAGTAAGTGGAAATACTCTGAGTAGAAGTTGTTGTCTCGTTCCCCCCCTCACTAAACATTGAGGATGAAGTATCATCTAGCGACGTAAATGGTAGTGGAGCTGGCCAGATATTTGTAGTCATAGGTAATGGAGGGGTTGGTCGCTCAGGACTCTGTAAGAAAAGTTTTCGTTGTCTGGTAAGAGGACGACCACCAGCCACCCCAGGAGTCTTCATCATGGAACCTGGGCTATCAATTGATTTAGGGCTTGAAGTAAGTAAGGGATTCTTGAATGGACTGACACATGGTGAAGAAGTCTTTCTAAATGGGCTATTTGTATTTAACAGATGACTTTTTCGTGGGCTCTTTGATGGACTTTTCACCAAACCTTCTAAATCTTCATTAACAAGACCAAACAAATCTTCTTGGAAATTGCTTTCTAAAAAGATATCATCCCAATCAGGAATAGGCAAATTATCAAGCAAAGATCTATTTCCAAACAAATCTGTACCAGATCCAGCTTTGTGAGGACTGGGTGTGCCGTTCCTTTCTGTTTTCACACAGCCAGCAGGACTTGATTTATGAGGGCTTGGTGTACGCAGTAGATAACCAGATTTATGAGGTGTGAAAACAGATTGGAGCTCTGGTCCGGCATGTTTTCTTTTTGGAGGGCTTGGTGTATTGAGGAAATTGGGATATGATCCAAATTCATCTAAAGGCGATGAGCCTCCCCAGAGAGGAGACTCATTTTTGACATCCTTATTAGGCGTGCGCAACTTTGAGCGGTAATCCTCTTTGTCTGACATTTTTTTTTTTTGCTGGCCTGAAAAAAAAAAATTGTGTTAAAAATATTAAAGAATCAATGTCATGGAAAATTATATACGTATTTGGAGAAAAAAGTTAAAGAGTAAGCCTACCACTAAGTTTTGAGTTTGTTACGGGTAAGATTCACTAGAAAAGCATAATACAGATGTGTCACAATCTATAATAATAATTACTGAGTGGATGTTGTCCGCCACACTCAAGACATATGACACAGATTAACCCCTTTTAATTAACTTTTATGTCATAACTCACCCAAATGACATTATTTCAATTTTTTAAAACAACACATCCTTTATTTTGCTATGTGTTGACAGAATTATGGGTAACAAATATGTTCTTGGGTGTGTATGTGATCAAGCGCACGATTTTTATAGATTATGCACCTCTTTCTGTATTATACATGCACAACATAGTTGCATTGCCCCAGCTAGTATATAGTATATTTTTCTTACAATTTAAGTCTTTCCATCCAATAGACAGATGACAACCTTCCATAACTAATAAAACCTAATGGGACCAGGGTGTCAAGGCTAGCTCTCACCTAAATTTTGTGAAATGGCTGGGGAAAGTTTCTGATAAAAAAGTGAAAGGAGGACATTTTGAAATGTTTTACAAAACTTCTTAGTTCATTGAACATCAGATCTCTAAATACTTGACCATGTATAAAATTTTGCATTGCTCAATGAAATTTCAATAATAATAATACATTCCAAGGGTTGCTCTATATCAGTCTATGACTTTTTGACTTTGATAGATGCAAGGATTAACATTCAATACCGGTAATTAAAGAAGATGAATAAGCTGAAATTTAAGAAATGATTGGAGGTGAGTCTGATAAATATTTAACAATATGAGTCTGAGAGGGTTACCCGGGTACTCCGTCTTTAGCCAGTAAAAAGTCTATAAAAAAATTTGTCACAAAAATTATATTTAAAAGTTTAGAAAGCACCAGTCCGTCTAAGTCAATGGTTAAAACTCAGACTGAATGAAATGGTATAAAATGGTCTGAAAATACAGAAAAGCTTAATTATTAGTCTAATCTTCTAACCAATATACTCATACTAATGATGGCTGTATTTAGCTCTGAAAGGAATGACTACCAAAGTTAGAGTACCCGTAACAAATGAAAAATTGTTCAACTGTAACCGTAAATTCGTACCAAGTCTTCCGGAGTTGAAAAATTTAAAGATTAAACTAAATAAAGGGACAAATAGTCAACAATTCTTATAAATGTACACTGCACAGGCCTTCAAAAAGACTTAACAAGCCTTTTTTTTGCGTGTGGCAAACTATATTTAGAAGGGATAGAGAGGAGCCGAGGTATGTGTACTCTGCTGTGTTAATCTATGATTACCGTCTGCCTTAGACTTTGTCACTTACTCCCTTAGTCTTAGCCTAGGCATAAATATTAATATTCTTAATAAAGAAATGAATTTTAGTAGGGACCTTAGCCTTAACTAGTAGTTAACTAACTAGGCATAAATTTAAATGACATTAAAATATTGGCAATCCTCCGATCCCAAATTATTTCCAATGATTACTCCTTACTTAAAATTCTTGGGCATCATTCTGTTTTGAAATTCATGTTTGCGGCAGTGGACGATGTTGGATGGAGGTTGTCGGCCGTCGAGATGCACAAACACTCGAGCGCATTATCACTAATCATGTGTTACCAGGGACAGCTATCACCACGGACGCTTAGCGAGGATATCAAAATGTTGGTCTGCTCAACAACGGGATTTATGCTCACGCTGTCATTGTGCACGCGCATGAATTTGTTGATCCAGTAGACCAGGACATTCACACAGAAACTATTGAAGGACTATGGATGCAAGCGGAATGTTAACTCCGCTATCAGAGTGGTTCTACTCGCGGTCTGTTTGCCAGCTACTTGGGGGCCTTTCAGTGGCGCAACAGTCACAAGCAGAACGTTTTCGGCTGCTATTTGCAAATGCTATGCGCCAATTACAATATTTAGTGTTTACTGACTGGTTTGTAAAGTGACAGTTATTTACAAAAGCTATGACTGACATTTCTGCTTTTTTCTAACAATACACACTGTGCATTGCAATCTTTCATACGAAATAATTTGGGACCGGACTTCGGAGGATTGCCAAAATATTATTAATATTAATACTTTAATAATATTAATAAATTTATTGTATATGCTATAATAGGGCTGGGGCATGTTCTATTAGTTAGGCCTACTAGAACTTAAATTAAAATGGTGATTTCTGCTGTAAACCACTTATTAACAGTAACATTCATTGAGTAACTTGCTAACCAGTCCGTCAGTTCAATTAGTAGAGTAGAGAATGTTTCGAGTTTCGTTATCACCATTTTATTTAGTTTAACTAAGTAAGTTTACTTATAAGTTATAAGTAAATAAATAGGTAGCCTTAGTTTAGGCCTACTAATAACTAGAAATATGGTGATAGTTCATGCTTAAGTCGTATTTGGTCACTTAAATTCTTAATTAAGTAGCTTTTTTTTCTTCCTATTCTAGTCTAATCTTTCAGTCTTTGTTTTCTTTTTTTTAAGCTTCATCGGCGACTGAATCGTGCCAAATTCAAAGTATAACATAGAAATTTAAGGTCTTAATTAGGGAAACAATTGTAATCTGTGACTTTTTGTGTTCTTATTAAATATTTTTACAACTTCATTTACCTTCAATTTGAAGGCAATATTAACTGACAACAGGGTCAGAAAGGCGGACCTCCATTATTAGGCGCATAAAGTAGTGTTTTGACATCGGTTACATTCGCAGATTGGCGCCATTGTGTATATCGGAAGTGATAAACGTTGGAAGAAAATCTTCCAATCAAAATAATGTTTGTTCGTTTGTGCTGCAGGAAGTAAACTATATTTAGAAGGGATAGAGAGGAGCCGAGGTATGTGTACTCTGCTGTGTTTATTTTTATTTCTACAATGATATTCTGCTTCAAATAACACCAAAACTACACTGCAGTTAAAATAATAATTATTACTTCCAGAAATAGAACACAGCTAACCAAGGCTCAATCCATAAACGCATGTTGTAATGCATTTGCTACAAGCTGAGTTTACGAGGTCCACTCCATGATTGTTCTTCGGCCTCTGGGTTGCAAAAATACAATATAACACGCCGTGCTACTGATTTTCACATAAATGACCTACTTAGTTGACTCATCTTCTATGGTTTGTTATTGGCTTAGGTCGTTGTAAAGAAAGTAAAACTTTGTTTAAAGCCTGAGTTTGCTGACTCAGGTCCCTCACACAATAGGCTCAGTAGAGTAATACTAACAATAATTGCCAAAGTACTTTTAACACATTTAAAAAATTGTTAGTCCAGTGTATATAATTGACTTTCCTATATCAGATTGCCTTAGTCTTACACCTACTAACAAGTTAACTTAAGACTTAAGATAGGTCTACAGCCATAATATATAATTCATAAATCATTAGCCTGAAGGCCTACAGCCATAATATATGATTCATAAATCATTAGCCTAAATTAAACTAAAACATTCATTTTCATAGTAATCATAGACATGAAATATGAAAGACATACCTAAAAGCTAAAGAAGAAGTTGATCAAATTGCATAATTTCAGTAAATTAGACCTGCCCTATGTCTACATAGTTTCTTCACACTTAAGTCTTACTTTATCTAATAATAATAAATGGTCTTTTATAGCGTGGTACGCCTGCCTAGGGCTGAGCTCACCGCACTGTACATAAAAATATTATTAAAAGAGACATAATCATGAGATAATATGTTCAGTGTAATAAAAAAAACCATTTCCATTTATTTGGATCAAGCAAATAATCTTACAGTAAGTTACAATATCTTTTTATGAGCAAATTGTGTAGCCAGAGGCTATTTATAACTACTGTTTAAATGTTTTTAGCTTTTTAATTCTAAAATAGTTAATAGGCCTACAATGCCTACACTACTATCACATAGATGTCATGATGATGTTTCAAATAAATGTGTGACAATTTTTTAAAATTCTTAAAGTCATTTCAATCATAATAATGCCTAGGCATATACTATACTATTATACATATTAAAGTGGAATTCTTATTAATATTTCATGTTATAAGGTATTTTACTAAATACACTGGAAAGAGAAAAGATTTAAGATCACAATCCCCTGCGCTTTTAAAAAGTATTATTATTTTTTTTATTGGCCTATTTACCAGTAGTAGAGAATATGGAATATGGCACAATTAATGTCATTCATTTTTTTGTCATGCAGGGCAATGCAGGCCTATTTGTTACATTATGTAGCATGTATTTAACAGGTCTTAGCTTAGGTCTGGTCTTTTTACAAGATGAAATGAATTCACATGTTATTAAGTTTGTCAATTAATAAAGTCTTTTGACAACTAATAGGGAACAACTGGTGCCCCCTTCCCTCTGTTAATGCAGTTCATAGTTTATATGCAACATCATCTCAAAGGATTCATTTTTTTTTTTGTAATGCAAAAACACTGAATTGCATATCAATAAGGTCTGACTGTGATTTTTCTGGTAAGGCACTCTCTTGAAATTGCTAGTGAAAGAATGGAAGTCAGTGAAATTGTAAGAAACTCAGTTGTCAATCTTTTACCACAGCCTAATATGTTTGCAGGTTTTTTTTTGGTCTCTTTATTGTTAGGGAAGTGAGCATAGTTTCCTGGTCCTTAGTATTGAGGAATGGTGTTATATTAAAAACCCATTGATTTACATAATTTGTGTGTATGTATGTAACGTTAATTATAAAACGGAGCTGAAGCATACATATAATTATCTTTCTATTTGTAAAACAATTACACAGATAGAGTTTTATGCTATTGATCCATTGCAGTAATACATTTTATTAATGGCGTGGTATCTTGCAATATTAATTCAAGAAATGGTGTTTTGTTCTATTGATAAGGTCTTTTTTTTTTTTTTTTTTTAACCTCTATTCTCTGTATGTGAAATGATTATGGATTTTATTGATTTCATTTTCAAGAGCATAAAGTTAGTTTACTGACTAAGAATGCTCTTCCTATGTAATATGCCTGCATAGGTTGGATTGTTTTAAACGCTTTTAACACTTTAATATAATTGTTAAACAAAAATAGCAATGGACATCATCAATGATCTTTTCAGTTGTTTTTGAACCAAATATATTTATCTAATTACTATTCTTCTCACACTACTAAAGGGGTTTACTTTCTTTTTTAAACTTAAATCATGTCAATTTGGTATAAGCAAAAATAAATAGTTACATTGCTCTATACTGTATTTAACATTGTGATAATTTAAATGGATGGAATTAGAAATAATAATTAAGTATGAGAGTACTATGCTTTTGCAGACCTGTTAACTCTTACGATTTTGGCGTACAATGTACGATTTTGAGTTGTATAGATTGTATATACTGTATGTTTTTTTTTTACTATAAATATAACGTATTGAACGAATTTGTCATGATATTGTACAATTTTAAGAGTTTGAGGGTAAACTGGTCTGCTCTTGTTAATTACAGAATGTATCTGCTATTGGTTGATGTAGTTAAAACTTTTTTATTTTCTTTCACTGAATAGTTTGTTCAGGAAATGACAGACTCGCAAAAATTCAGATGTAACATGAATTTGGTTGTACAAACCTTATCTCAACTTCGCAATGGATGATGATGTATTACAGGAGCAGACATGAGGTAAATATTTTAGACATTAGTTCTGGAATTATCCTGAGGTCATCTAGGCTCATGTATGTATTGAACTTGCCCAGTAAAAATTTTCAGGTCATTTTAACTTAGATAATATGAAACTTTTCTCAAGTAAACATCTCTTCAAGCAACAAGAGAAGTTTTTCAACACATTTAAACTTGTAATTTTCCAAATATTTTAGAAGCATTGACCATGTTATGACTGACAGGCCCTAAGCATTCTCCAAAGTTTACTGACCTCATTGGTTCATAATTAAATCGCTCATGCTAAAACATGGAGGACATTCAATTCCTCCCAGATAAATTAGGTTTGGCTTTTACAACTGGATTAAAAAGTTGTTTAAAATGTCAGGGCTGTGTGATGTATGAATTTAGACGTAAAATGCTAGAGGATCATTTGTGTGCTACTAAAAGCCAGAAGATGGACATTTTTGTGTGTACTGCTGTAAGAAATGTATGTATATGGTGCCTTAAGGGATGTAGTTATGTGATACTCTTCTTCTCTGCCTTTTCAACTCCCAGTTAGCTTATGCCATTGAAGTCTTTCCACACTTTCCAGTCTCTTGCAACTTTATCAACTATTCCAACCCTTTCTTTTTGTGTCATCTTGTGCTGCTGTAAGTTTTGTGCTCCTGTAGAGTGTATTTATGTGCTGTTGTAAGGTACCATTTGTATGAAGTCATTTCAGTATGCTAACAAGTATTGGACACTCTTTAATGCTATGATTTCTTAAAGTTCATTTCTAAGAATCAACTGCTTTTGGAAATTACATATGAATATAATATTCTCATAATTTTTATTGTTCATTTCTTTCCAGATTTTCTCATTCTGGTATGCAGCAGACGTTGATGGTTTAAGTTTTCTAGAATCAAGTAAAAGAATCCAGTGAAGTCTGCCATGCGTACTAAGGCTGAAAAGAAGTATAAAAAGGCTCCTGAGGAGAAGCTGAAGCTTAGCCTGCCATCTCCAAAGGTCGTGCTCAATGCCAACGAGTGTGCCAGACTGCTTGATGGAATTGGAAAAACCTCTGTCTTATTGGTGGAAAAGGGTGGTAAAATGGTGGCTGCCACCACAGTGGTGTCATTACCACCCTCAGAATCTTCATCATCTGACACAGGGGCAGCTGCAAACACCAAAGTTTCCAATAGTCTTGGCCCCCATATGACATCAGACAGCAAAAGCACATCGGTTGCCATTGGAAAATCAAACAGTCCCGAGGTCAAGACTGTAGTTTCAATCAACAATAAAAAAGCTGAAGACGTGCCCACAGCTGCTAAAGTCATTCTGAAACCCCCCAAGAAAAGAAGGGGAAATGACAAAAAATTTGAAGAAATCCTCCACACTTCACCAGTAGTCAATAATGGAGACATACAGCATCCCATCTCTCCCTTGAGGGAGTTGGTTGATGGTTGTTCCAATCAAAGTAAAACTGACTCAGTCTTGAAGTCTGGCCTACCTCTTAAAGCTGAAGCCACACAGAAACATAGTGTGGAGAGCTTACTCCAACCATCTTCACTGGTCAGTAACAACAATCTGTTACTAGGGGGCTACTCACACCATACATTTGACCCAAGGAGACACCATTTACCCCAGACCTCTTCCTTCACATCTTCAGGCTCCATATCACAGTCCAACAATTCAGATAATTACCCAACCAGTGCTCCATACCACAATGCATTATCTCAGCCGTCATCCCAGTTGTATAATCACTCATCTTTCACCACAGACAGCACCAGCCAGAGCATGGGCTCGCTGGCCTACAGTGTTACCAACACAAAAACTGTTCCGTACAATGCCAACGTGAATCAAACGTCTACTTATCTCAACAAGCGGGTAACAAACGATCATGCGCCTGTCCTGTCCTTACCGCTTCTGGTGCCGTCCGGCAATAATGGGGTAGCACATTCTCCGAGCTTCCAGCAGCTTCCAGAGCAAGAGGAACCCATGAACCTTTCCAAATCCTGCAAACCTGCCCTCAGTCTGGTGACCGTTCAGTCTCATGTTAGTGTCAATGAAAGTAGGACAGCTGAGGATGTGTCCAGGGGCTTTGTTCTGCAACATTCTCCAGCTCATGGTCAGACCCAGTCTGTGGAGTCTCGGGAAAGCCCACCCGACATGCTCCCAGAATCTTTGCCAGTCAAGAAAGCAGAATTGAAAAAGTCAAAAAAGAAAAGAGTGCCGAAAGAAGTTATTCTCTCCCACAACAACTCCCCAAAGGTCCAAACACCCAACCACGTCGTTGATGAGTTAATAGACTCATGTAATGGACAGAATAAAAGTGTACCAGAGACAGGCGCAAAATCAGTGAGTTCAGTTTATCATATGGCTTCCCCATCTCACTTGGCCACTTCATCTTCTCAAGTGCCAAACACACATGCCGAAGACACAGGGCTTTCTGACACAAGACAGCAGGCGGCAGAAATAAGCCAACAACCACCCAATGCGAGTCTTGTAGAATCCAACCAAAAGCAACCAAGTACATATCTTGAAGACAGTCCTAAGTCTTCTCTGTCCCTCTCGGAACCCTTGAAGCTAGCTGCTCACTCAGAACCCTTGTCGTTAGCTGTTCGTTCAGAACCCTTGTCTTTAGCTGTTCACTCAGAACCCTTGTCTTTAGCTGTTCACTCTGAACTCTTACCCATGTCATGTGAACCCCCATCATTATTAAACACTCAGTGTAACATTGCAAAGCACCATCACCTCATAGACCATCCTTCACCCAACGAATCAATACAGAAATCTAAAAGGTCACCTAAGAAAAAGGTTGAAATTCCGATGGATGAAGTCTCTTGTGCCAATAGGATATCTTGTTACTTAGAAACTATTGATGATGTTATTGCTAACTTTGTATATATTCCTGGAGCCTTAGAAGAGTTGAAGTTGAGAGAAGATGAGGCAGCGATATTGGAAGAGATCCATGACAACAGTGTCAAAGAGAAGAGATTAGTGAGCTCTGGTAGTGCTGACAAGGTTCATGTTGAAACAGGGAGTGTGATGACATCACCTAGTAACCAGGCTCATGGTGAGACGGGGAGTGTGATGACATCACCTAGTAACCAGGCTCATGGTGAGACAGGGAGTGTGATGACATCACCTAGTAATCAGGCTCATAGTGAGATGGGGAGTGTGATGACATCACCTAGTAACCAGGCTCATGGTGAGACAGGGAGTGTGATGACATCACCTAGTAACCAGGTTCATGGTGAGACTCAAACGGATCTCTTTGATGAGCCACCACCAAAACGAAATTTTAAGTCATTGAAGCCACCTAAAAAACGACCAAACGTACTCGTGGCAAAGAACCATTTTATAAAGCGTCTGGCAGGACAGGAAGCACAAAACACCATAAACCACATAGACAGTGTTTTGGCCTTTGTGGCAGCTGACATTTTAAATTCAACACCTCCTAAGGAAAGCGGTCTAGGAGATATGGAGAGGCAGAAAAATAGCTCAGATGTTCATCAGTTGTTGCCCGGGTCAGAAAGCAAAATTGTTTCAGATACAGTGATTATTGCAGACATTACTAGGCAAATACATCCTGAAAATGCTCCATCTAGCTGTGTTGTTGCTTTGGATTCAAAGGAATCAGCACCAGAAGATACCGAATTGATAGCAAGTAAATCAGACCTTACACATCTCAGCATAAAAAACAATGTGGGGAAAGAAGAGGAGAAAAATACAACAAGCAAACCTAAGAAAAGTAGAAAAAATAAAAAATCTGACATGGAGAAGTTACCTGCCTTGAATAAACAGGCTCCTCCTGACACAGATCTGGACCTGCATCAGAAGGATGGCAATTTCACTCCCAAGAAAAAGAAAAAAGCAGCAGACAACAGACCAAAAGTTGTCAAGAAAAAGAAAGGAGACAGTGTTCCCCTTGTGTCAAACAGTGAAGCTATAAGTGTACCTGAGAAAGACATTCTCAGCACCACCAGGGCAGAGACGTCTGACATTGGGGAAAGTATTGCCTCAACATCTGGGGGCTCAGAGCAGGACACACCTGTCCACGAGCCCGAATCTAAGGATGAACTGGTTTCTTCTGATTCTAAGTCGGCAGATAAAGAAAACCAAGACACTGGACTGGAGAGTGGGGGAGATGATAACAAGCCAGTGAGGAGGTACAAGAAGAGGTTGGACTTTGTCAAATGTGCCCAGTGTGATCATCAGGCCAGAGGAAGATCTGCTTTGAGTCGCCACATGAAGAAGGTGCACATGATGGATGTCAACATGCCCTACAAATGTCATCAGTGTGATTACGGGTGCACAAAGATGGCATCTCTCAACAGGCACCTTTTCACACACGGTGTGTACCCATGCTCAAGGTGTAACTTTGTGGCTGATGAAAGAAGTAAACTAGGCCAACATGTGATGGAGCTTCACAAGGATAAGCTTGACATGAAGCTGTGCAAGGTGTGCAACAGATACATCAAGTGTGACCAGCTGACAATCGAGGAACATGCCGATGCATGTCAGGGGCCGACACCCTTCAAGTGTTCAGAGTGCGAAAAAGAGTTCAAATATGCCTCTTCCCTTCGGGTGAGTTTATCTTTTATGTTTCTCATTTAGTAATTAGGGATGTCGGTTACCAAACCTTTCCCCAAAAGGAATTAAATTTGTAAGTACATTTCTCAGTCATTACATTTGTTGGTACAACCTTTCTTAGTATACTAAAATAAGAAGTAAACATCTAATGAAACAGAAAATAAATTTGCGTATAGAAAGAAGGTATGTAATAGCAACAAGTCTGAAGAATTAACTAAGGAATTAAAATAAAGCTTAGCATTGTGGGATAGAAAATGTAAAATAGAAATTTCCATTTGCTGATATGTCAAATAGATTTATTCCTAGGAATAAAGGTGGTCTGACTGTAGCAATGAGCAGGATAGAAGAGTACAGTTGTATAATTCTCCATAAATGATTCCAATGTTTATACTATAACAGGTCTGATCCATTCCTTGCAGGTCCATTATCATACCCACTTCCCTGACCAGCCCAAGAGATTTAAGTGTGAACAGTGTGACTACAGGACCAACTACAAGGCTAACCTACATAAACATCACAAAAACATGCATGCATCCAGAGACAGGGATGTACAGTGTCCTGAATGTGGGAAACTCTTCTCTACTGAAGATAACATGAGGCGACACAGGAAGGTAAACTTGATGACAACTTAATCAACAGAACATTCTCCAACATGTATATTGTCCCACCTGATTTACACCGAATGCGCTCCAACGTGTATATTGTACCCACATGATTTACACAGGAGGTTTTTCAACATGTATATTGTCCAGACCTGCCAACCCTTCAGATATTTTTGGAATTATAAAGATTTTTTACCCCTAATTCCGACCTTCCGACAAGTCCCTTTAAATTTCGATTTTCCGAACATTATAATCTTTCACCCATCATAAAAATCCAAAAGCAAAAAAAAAAAAAAAAAATCATGTACAACAGTAAGTGGTGCATTTCAATGATGCCACTTCCTTTGTTTTACGAAGATTTTGGAATTATAAAGATTTTTTACCCCTAATTCCGACCTTCGGACAAGTCCCTTTAAATTTCGATTTTCCGAACATTATAATCTTTCACCCATCATAAAAAACCAAAAGCAAAAAAAAAAAAAAAAATCATGTACAACAGTAAGTGGTGCATTTCAATGATGCCACTTCCTTTGTTTTACGAAGTGTGTACATGTCTGGCAACCGGACGAATAAGTTGTGGGGATATTCGCCTGGCTATTACTATTATGTATTAGACCAAGTCACATACCGCCGTAACAAAGTTGCGCGAGATATTATGCGCAAGGTATGTGTCCGCAAACCTTGTCGCTAGACCGCTAATAATCGATCAGAGTTTACAATACTTCATTTCAACAAATTCAAGATAGTCTGGACATTTACATGAAAAAGAAATATGTTCAATTCTACAAAAGAACAACTAGAACCATTGCTTGGACACAGAATGAACAAATTTTTAGAAAGTGACAACGTTAAATAAAGCGTGACATGCCTGCCAGATGAATATCTCCCACACTATTCATCTGGACGTGTAGACACTGCTTTGTTTTTATTGAAGTGAACCATAATCTCCAAATCATTCTTCAATCATAAATTGATCCGATCGTGATTCATCCTTTTACTAGGCTAAAAAAAATTAAGTTGTGTTGTTTTTTTTTGAATTTTTTTGTTAAAGCTTTTCTTATTAAATGGATAAATCTATTGAAAATGGTGGTTACAATGATATTAAGAAACATTTTAACACAAAAAAAAACAACATGCAACTGCAGCTAAAAGAAGTAAATCTACAACATCCATGTCTAATTTCTTTGTTAAGGAATCAGACGATTCTGTTATCAGATCGGAAGTTTTATTTTCCATCTTTCTTATTGAAGTAAATATTTCTCTAGCCAACTCCGATCATTTTAATGCCAGAGTCAAAGAAATGTTTCCAGATTCACAGACTGCTTGAAGATTGTGAAGAAAAATTACAATGAAACAAAGGCAAGCATGAAAGTTGATACTCTTTCTAACTTGCTTGTAACTAAAATCAATTGCAATGCTTATCTTCTGTTGTCCAAAGTCCAAAGAGCTGTTGTACAAGTGCAAAAAGGCCACTAGGGATATGCTGGAAAACTGAGCTCTTATCAGCCTGTGTGCATCATATAATATATAAAAGTGAAAATTTGTGCCTGTGTTTGTTCCACATAAGTTTTTACATGGATTGATGGATCTTGACCAAACTTGATACATATATCCATCATTGCCCAGAATCAAATCCTGGGGGAGGGCGGGGGTTATGAACTTTTTATAGCATTCCCTTTTGGGCAGGGGGGCCCTGAATTCATTTTTTTTCTTATATGAGCTTTATAAATAAATTAACAAAAAATACTCCTACATGAATTGATGGATCTTGACCAAACTTAGTACACATACACTATATTATCCATATTCTAATACCGAAGGGTACTGAACCCATATCCATCCCTCTGGGGCCGTTTCATTTTTCCTTATACAAGCTATATGAGGCTTAGACAACACTTTAGGTTCTATGTCAATTCATGGATCTATGCCTAGCTTGGTAGTAATACCCTTCTTTGTCCATATTGAAATATCGGTGGATTTAAAACTAATAATATCTAATCCATGCAGGGCTGATATAGAATTTTCTATAAAGTTTGATAATTTAAAAAAAGCTATAACTATGGCATTTTTAAACCGATTTTAATGGGACAAATTTTAAATTTTAACTCTAAAATTTATCTGAATGATTTTTATAGGGCCCTCCATCTCAGACATGTAACTAAAACGGTACTTTATTAAATGGGCCCCCACCAGGGCCCCTGTTTCTATTTAAATGTACTATAGTTAAGTAGCACAATTAAGTTGTATAATAGTTTGCATTCAAGAAATAATTACGTAGAAAAGTAATTTTTTACACGTTTCATGGAGGATATTAAATTTAATCTAGAATGTTCCAGAAGGTTCTATGTTGTTCTACGGGGATATATAATGGGATCTAAAAGCTTATTCAAACAAAATTGCGCTGAGCATGATCCCATTGAGCAGGCCTGCACAACATACGGCCCGCACCCACAAAGTAACAAAATATTCTTCGTTCTTATTATTTTCTTAATAGCTTTCCCCCTGTCCTATTTTCTTTTGGCCTGCACAAGTTTTTCATAAAGTAATACAGCCCGCCTTACATTTTGAGTTGTTGCGGCCTGCCATAGAGGAAAAGGATCCTAATGGGTAACGAGATCCAACAGTAAACTGGACCATTGGTTACACGATCCCATTGGTGAACTGAATCCCATTGGGATCACAACAGGAAACGGGACTGCGCTGGGATTGGGGTCCCAATGCAATCCCGGGCCATGCAGAGTATAATGGCTAGTATTTAAATAAAACGGATATATCTGTATACAAACATTTACAGTAATCTTTTTCTCATGTTCTGTGGACCATTCAAAGACAACGGAGGTAACTTTATATTTCTTTATTTATTATAATAATATAATATGTAGGCCCCTGGGCAACCCCCCTTCCGCACACACCCTCCTACAGATTTTTTTTCTTTGGGGGTTGGCAGCAATGTTTCCTATAAGGTTTGTTGGTTTGTGTGCAAAATCATACAGTTGTGTGCAAAGTTTTACAGCAGCAATTTTTTTGTGAGCAAAATTTTACAGCCCACAAACACACACTTACATGGAAATTTGCTGCGCGGATACTCAAAACTGCTGCATAGCGCCTGAGATTGCTGCGCGGCCGCGCAGCTTAAAGGGAACGTTGGTTGGCAGGTGTGATTGTCCCATCTGAATTACACAGATGATAAAATGAACTGACGCTGACTAGAGGCTGTCTTCAATGCATTTTGAGTCAAAATTTAAAAAATCTGTTTAAGCCAACCTGTTTGAAAAGTTATTTCAACTACCATTGTGAATATGTCCTAAACACTCCCAATAAATGAATACTTAAAAATGACATGATCAGTCATTTAACTAACATGCATAATTATATTTAGTTGTTGGGTTTGCATCTGGTACATCACACGTTTGATGAATTTTAAAACAAAGAATGTTAAATTTGACTGAAAATGGACACATTTTGGTGAATTCTGAAATAAAATTTCAGTATAGCGAAGTTTACCCGTAGATTTGTGGAAAAATTTATTTAAAAAAAAATTTGCAATCCTATGTCCCATATTTCTGTTACAGCTTTTAATAAATTCTGCTGTGGAGTAATTTTATGGTATGTCACATTATGTATGAATTATAGCTCTGAAAAACAAATTCTGTTTCCAGGTCCACACATTGGTTCGTCCTTTTGGTTGTGAGATCTGTAAGAAAACCTTTAAGACTTCCGGGGCACTGAAAGGCCACCACCTGATCCACACCGCCACAAGACCCTACACATGCAATATCCCAGGCTGCAACAGGAGCTTTCGAACACCCAAGTTCCTGAAAAGCCATCAAGAGGAGTTTCACAGACTGGTTCCCAAAAAGTTTTTCTGTTCAGTTGATGGTTGCAACTACTCATTCTTCAAACGGAGTCACTTAAAACGCCATGCAATTACACACACAGGTAAGACTTTAAAGTGAGCCCTTTATACTGTGTAGGAAGCATGGAATTGTGATGAACTCATGGGATCCCCACATCCAGGTTAGTGGCTTGAGTGTTCAGCTTGAGGAGTCAATAAACCAAAATCTCTCCTCCCAACAAAGTGTTGATGGTGTGAAGGGCTGTGTTTATGTCAGTAAACCAAAATCTCTCCTCCCAACAAAGTGTTGATGGTGTTAAGGGCTGTGTGTTTATTAACATTGAAAGGATATAAATTTTAACACATTTTATTTTATTTTTTTACTATAATTTAGGAAGTTATAGAGAAATTAATTATAATAAATAGGTCGTAAGTAAACATGCATCACCCAAATGAGATGAATTTGTTATCACTGCACTTCGTGCAGCATCAGCATACTCCCAAATTGCTTAAATCAATCAAAGCTACTAAATTTTAGAATTTTGACACTACTGTACCTTTCTGTATTCATCAAAAGTCTTGCTTGTTTGAACATACACACACATTTTTAAAGCCCTGGCCATATCAGCTTGATAAATGTAAAATATGAAGTAAGGAACCTTCTGGTCCCTAACAGTTTAAATTAAAAGATAGAACTTTGGTATTTTCTGTGAAAATTGTCTTTTCCCTGAATTCTGTACAGTAAGCTTTCGGCACAAAGGATAGAAGTGCTGTACTGTTAGGGTCCATGGGATACTGTAAAATGAGATTTTATAATAGTTAATTGGTGTATTTCAGAACCAGTATTACAGGCCATAGATTTTTAATTTACTTGTGAGCCGCAAGCCTTTCAAAGTTAGCCCCATGAAGTTGTCAAGAATACTCACAATTGTCAATTTTATTTCTATTTTAGGTGAGCGCAATTTTCATTGCACATGGCCGGCTTGTAACAAGTCTTTCAGACATGCCGACAACCTAAAGGTTCACTTCCGCTCTCACACCAACGAAAAACCAGTGCAGTGCCATCTTTGTGATTTCAAATGCAAGCAGAAAAATTCCCTCTTCTGGCACAAGAAAAAAGTTCATCAAATTATTGATGCATCCGTGTGCCCTAAACGTATGGAGAGTAAGTTGAAATCAATGGACCTTGAAAACTGCCACGACCTCAGTGAGTCCCAGTCCACACAGTCAGAAAGTGAACAGGGACCTCCAATTGTGGAGATGGCCACTCAAAATGTGGAGAAATCTGATTGCGCTGAAGACTGCCCTAATGCCTCTGAGGTGTCTTCAACAGTTACTGAAACTCAGGCTGTGACCAATATTCGCGAAGACTGTGAGGACAAATGTCCAGTTGCTGCTGTTTGTGAGCAAAGTATTTCAACACAGACACCCATCTCTAGAGAACGTGGTCCTAAAGACCTATACGAGTTCAATTCTGAAGATGAGTTTGAGGAAGAAACACCTGGAAATTTTAGGCGAGACAAATTGGCCATGACAACATTAACTCCTCTACCTCCTCCGCCTAAAGAGCTGTTGCGTAAAAATGAAATTCTCGAAATGAAGGAAAAAGAAAAGAAAGAAAAGGCTGAGAAACGTGAGCTGGAAAAGAAAGAAAAGGCTGAGAAAAAAGAGCAAGAGAAAAAGGAAAGAGCCGAAAAGAAAGAACAAGAAAAAAAAGAAAAAGCAGATAAGAAGGAACAAGAGAAAAAAGAAAGAGCGGAAAAGAAAGAACAAGAGAAGAAAGAAAAGGCAGATAAGAAGGAACTGGAAAAGAAAGAAAAAGCTGATAAAAAGTTAAGTGCAAAGAAACCCAGCAAGAAGAAATTGATTAAGACTGAAGTTGTTGAATATGAGGAAAATGTGGAAGCCACCATTAGCAGCAAGGAGAGCCCTGAGAAAGGAAGTAGAGATGTCAGTGCTGATACAACTGGCAGTAAGCCAAGCCCTGATAAAAAACCTAAAGTCAAGGATGAAAGTTCGGAGACCACTGAAGACCAGAAAAATAAAAAAGGAGCCCTAAACTCTTTAAAGAGAAAGCGACCAATCATGAAATCGGTGAAGGGTTCCCCACCAGTAGTTGCCAATTTGGAGGCTAATGATGACAAGGAAAGGACAGCTAGGGGTAGGAGAAAGAAAGGCATCACCAAAAATGTTGCACAGATTGAGAAAGTTACAGAGGACAAGGAGGAAGAGGAGATAGCTGTATCACCTCCAAAACGAAAAAAGATTACATCTAAGAAATTGTCTGAAGAAAATCCTGTCCCCCTGCCTCCAAGAAACAGTGTTAAGAAATTTTCTGAGGACAATCCAGTCCCCCTGCCTTCAAGAAGCAGTGCTAAGAAATTGTCTGAGGAAAATCCTGTCTCCCTGCCTCCAAGAAACAGTGCTAAGAAATTGTCTGAGGAAAATCCTGTCACCCTGCCACCAAGAAACAGTGCTAAGAAATTGTCTGAGGAAAATCCTGGCACCAGACAATCCAGTCCCCCTGCCTGCAAGAAGCAGTGCTAAGAAATTGTCTGAGGAAAATCCTGTCCCCCTGCCTCCAAGAAACAGTGCTAAGAAATTGTCTGAGGAAAATCCTGTCACCCTGCCTCCAAGAAACAGTGCTAAGAAATTGTCTGAGGAAAATCCTGGCCCCCTGCCTCCAAGAAACAGTGCTAAGAAATTGTCTGAGGAAAATCCTGTCCCCCTGCCTCCAAGAAACAGTGCTAAGAAATTGTCTGAGGAAAATCCTGTCACCCTGCATCCAAGAAACAGCATCAAGAAATCCTGCCCTCCGAAGCCAGGAACCAACTCAAAGGGAGTTAAAAAGAAATTAGTTCCCCCCAAACGCAAGCCGAGTGCCAGGATAAAGGCCAAGAAAAAGGCAACAGCAAAAACCAAAGGTGCCGTAAAGGGAGGCAAATCTGCAGTAAAGAAAAAACTGGTCAAGAAAAAGTCATCCCCAAAAAGCAAACAGGAAGACACGGAAGAAAGTAACACTGAAGTAAACGAGACCATCGCTGAAGTCAAGGCGGTGGATAAGAAAGTCTCGCCACGCAGAAAATCTGAAGAATTAAAGAAGGTCGAAACTAAAACTAAGAGTGAAAGTAAAACTAAAGGTGAAAGTGAAGAGACTATCGCCACCAGACCTTTGTCTCCTGCTTACTCTGAGGAGATTATGTTACAAGGCAAAGCCAGCCCTTACAGAGACTTCTCAGATGCTGACATGATGGAAGAGGAGGGGGCACACAAAGTCACCAAACATGAAGATACGCCCAGTCCAGCCCAGACCGCAACCCCAGAGATTTTGGAGGAGGTTCAGCCAGAGGTACAGGAGGAGAGGGAGGAAATCCCAGAGTCTAGCGAGGCTGATGACGGTGAGGAGGAAAAATCTGTTCCACAACCAGCGGACGAGTCTTCAGATGGGGAAGTTAGTAATGATATACCACTGACGCCACCCAGAGCACCGGCCCCTCCACCAATGGAGAGCTCTGAGGATGAAATGGACCCTGAGCCGGATCTGGCCCCGATTTCAGTGCCGGGTCCAAATACTCCATTTTCTGTCCCAGCACCAAACACACCATTTTCAGTGCCCCCTCCTACCAATCTCCTTCAGCAACACTCAGTTCACTCAGAAGAGGCACCAATGTCAGCAGTTCCTTCTGTACCATCCATGGAAATGCATTCACAAGGGTCTGTGGAAATGCAGCAGCCTGTGGGCTCAGTTGAAATGCACTCTCATGGCTCTGTGGAAATGAATCATCCTCATGGCTCTGTTGAAATGCTCCAGATGCATGGCTCTGTAGAGATGAATCATCCTCATGGCTCTGTTGAAATGCTTCAGATGCACGGCTCTGTTGAAATGAGTCATTCACATGGCTCTGTTGAAATGCATCCTCACAACACTTCTGGGGAAATGCACCACCACAGCTCTGTAGAAATGAGACCCCATGGCTCGGTTGAAATGAGACCCCATGGCTCGGTAGAAATGAGACCCCATGGCTCGGTAGAAATGAGACAGCATGGCTCAGTAGAAATGAGACCACATGGCTCAGTAGAAATGAGACCCCATGGCTCAGTAGAAATGAGACCCCATGGCTCAGTAGAAATAAGATCACATGGGTCTGTGGAAATGGTGCAGTCTCTTAGCTCTGTTGAAATGCATGGATCACTTCAGGAGCCCATGTCCCAGTCAGAGCAGCAGATGGCCAGGACGCCAGACAGCGGAGGTAGGGAAATGAAATATGATCTTCTTCCACCTCTGCAAGATCAGGCTCAGACATCTGAAGCAGACAAAGAATATTTTGATCAATACCTCAAGAGCTTAAGTGCTGCCAACAATCGGGCAGCCAATGGTGGCCTTGAGCCTCCGACGAGTGGATTACGAGAACTAGAGGCAATGGTTGGTAAGTCTCACCATGACCTGAGAGAACTGGGCAGCAAATCTCCCATGGGCTCTCTACCCACCGGTGTCATGACCAGCCTTGAAAGCACTTTACCAATTCTTGCATCTGGTGATCTGCGTGCTAGAATGGATGTGTATGAAAGGCACCACGAGTCCCTTTATGTTAGAGACACCCCGTCATCACTACCTCGCCTATCTGATAGACAGACTGCTACCCCTTTAGCTCCCAATCCAGCTGCATTTGATGCATTTTCATCTCTGAATTCGCTGCACCCTGCTGCCGGTGGCAGGGATAACACTTACCTCAGGCAACCTGAAAACTTATTTCCCACTCCACCCGTCACCAGTAACTTTATGGCGGAGGCCATGTTTCAGCGCCAGGCCATGACAACTCCCTTCCTGCCCCCTCAGCCAAGTGACAGAAGCGGCCTGTCTCGCATCCCTGATACAACACCTTTAAGATCTAATTCATCGTCACTGTTGCGTCGTTCTGGCACCATGCCGGGTGCGGATATGTTTTCATCTCCTTCCATGCCCCAGGCCATGCCTAGAAATCCGTTCACCAATGCTTGGGCTAGTCAAGAATCCAGACCAACTCACTGGCAGACACCGTATCTCCCCCGGCAACCCAACATGACATCAGCCGGGTCATTTTTTCCTTCGAAAGATAACTATCTGACAGGAAGGGAGTTTATGTTTGATCCGTCAGTTCGTCAGTCTGCGGAGAGAGGGATGTTCCCATCACTATCCTCTGGACAGACACAAGACACCTTTCAGCTTGAGCGTTTTGACCTTAGCAACTATTTCCCAAATGCAATGACTCCGTATGGCAGTTCTACGGGGACTTTAGACTACACCAGATCAGCCCACCCGGCTTCCGCTAAACCTTTTGATGAACGTTACAGACAGTCAGCTGCCGCCTCTGCCAGCATCCCTGATTTTAGAGGCTTACCTCCCTCCACTGGGTCCTCGGACATGTTCTCTGGCTTGCCCGGGGTCAACAGTGGCCTGTTCTACGCAAGTAATCCCATGTCTTATCATCACACACAGCACATGACAGACAATGTCAACAGTGCATTCCTCACACACTCCACTTCGGCTCAGCACGCCATGTTTGAGCGAGATTTTGCTGCTCATCGAGGCCTCTACCCACAGAACACGCCCTACCCATTCATAGATGAGAGACAGTACGGGCCTCCGGGCAAGCTCACACATACACACTCTGTTGCCTCTGCGCCGGCACCTCAAGATAGAGACTTAATGAGTAGGTCTGGGGGACCAGAAGCTCCAATGCAGGACCCTTATCGCAGCATGCTGTATAGATACTGAGGAGAGCACAGTCCCTGTTTTACTTTAAAGGGTTATGTAAATATTATCTTCCTAATATAAATTATTTTTTATGCTGTACAACATGTTTATACCCTCATTAACTTAAGCAAATTGTTCATTCATTGGTTACACCCTCATTAACTTAAGCCAATTGTTCATCCATTGGTTACACCCTCATTAACTTAAGCCAATTGTTCATCCATTGGTTACACCCTCATTAACTTAAGCCAATTGTTCATCCATTGGTTACAAGCTTGTATAACCATGTAACTCAGATTGAGAATGTCTCATTTTTTTTTTTCTACTTATATGGGACACAATGGAATATTTAGTGTGAAGCACCTTTTCCTTACTTTTTCTTGACCAGTCCAATACCAAGATGAATGACATCCAATGTTGACCAGTCCAATACCAAGATGAATGACATCCTGTGTTAACCGTAAATCTCACAACTACTTTTCTGAAGTCTCTGTATTAAAAATGGCTTAACATTTTTGTCAAGAAATTGTGGTGTATTTACCAAACTTTGTGTGTTATAGTAAATTCTCTCAACTTGATCATGTACTGCAAGATTAAATGACTGATTCATTTTTAGGATATGAATTTGTTATAAGTGTGGAGTAAAGCTCAGTAAGGACTATTTTAAACTGAATATTTTCTTCAATTTCTGTCATTATAAACATCAGCAATTTGTGTTCAAATGAAATCTTGTGTAAATACCTGGTGTCATATTAGCAATAACTTGTCCTATGATGTTTTGTACAAACTATTTTTCCAATTCAATTTTGACACTTGAGTAAAGCTGCAGCTTTTGTAAAGAGCAATGTGTGATATATATATGCAGTCTTCATGAATCCACTGTGGTCACAATCAAGTATGGCCCAGTACACTGCTAGCTAACCAGTAGACCTATGGTCCAGTACACTGCTAGCTAACCAGTAGACCTTTGGTCCAGTACAGTGCTAGCTAACCAGTAGACCTTTGGTCCAGTACACTGCTAGCTAACCAGTAGACCTTTGGTCCAGTACACTGCTAGCTAACCAGTAGACCTTTGGTCCAGTACACTGCTAGCTAACCAGTAGACCTGTTGCCCAGGATATTGCTAGCTTAGCAGTAGACCAGTGGTCCAGGATTTATTTAATAAATTGCTTCTTTGTCCTATTTTTAAATTTGCATTCATTGTAAAATTGTTAGTTTTTTTTTTAAAACTTGCAATAACTGCTGAGCCGTGATGTGTATGTTCCAGAAGAAAGAGCCCATTTTATGTTCAGACTGTAAAAACACAAGGCTAGATCCATCTGACCACCTGATTCATAATGCCTAAGTAATGTTCATTGCCATTAGAGCTTGCAATAATTTCCCTTTCCCTCAGCATTCTATAATAATGGCTGTTTATTGGTCATCACTTGCTATGATGCACAGGGGGTGGAGGTTGTTTCAGTGTTTGTCTGTCCAGCACATCTGTGTTAGAGATCACAACACACAAACGTAGACCCAGGTGGTTGTCACATTTTCAGTAGCGGTATTTAGTACTTAATGAAAACTGTGACATTTGTAGTTAGTTGATGTTGACACAGCTGACAAACTGTTACTCCATCGCCATCATACTGTTGTAAGCCTCTGACACAGAGCTATTGTGACAAGGGGATGGACTGGAGGTTTCACATGTATTTCTTCAAGAAATGGATCTCACATTGTTGCCAGTGAGTCATTCAGAGGGGTTCAGAAACTGTACAAATGAAATATGTTTGAAGGAAAACCATTGACAGTGTTTGAACAGAATTTTGGTCAAACCAACATTTTGTTCGAAATGAAATAAATGGAGATTAATTTGTTTTTTAAGGCAAAGGGCGACTGAAAAATGTGGAAAATTCCGTTCTAGCAAAATTATGTCAAACAATTTTGTTCCTTTGAAAAAAATTTCTTTGTACAAATTTCTTGTAATGATTCAGAGGTGTTCTGAATGCCATACCTTTGATGAGCTCTGCTGGGCTATCATCTTAGATTAGCTTGAGGAATATGAAAGCATTCTTTTTAGATACAGATTTTTAGTGTTCATTTAATTGTACCTAATCTTAAATTTGGTAACTAACATAAAAAAAAATGAAAGCGGCAATAATGTTGTGATGGATAAATTATTTGTTCAAATTCAATTGGAATAATGCGGCCAGGAGGAAAATAATTTAAATGAATGACCTCCCTTAGAGCTGGCAATTTGCTTTTGAATGCAGCCAGCTGATGACATTCAATCAGCATGAATCAACCAATATGAAATACTAGATTATAACGACAAAAAGTCTGGCCAGACTTGAATTTCCACACATTTCCAGCTATAAAATAACATTTTCTTTTTTTTGGTTTGTCCTTTTGATATAATTTATGTACACACAAATTTATTTTTTTGTAAAATCTTGTTGCTTTGTGTCTCTAGAATCCTAATGTTGAAAGAGAGATGTACACCTACCTCTGCATCTAGTACATGAACAATAAGTCGCTGTGTGCCGTAAAGCTTTTTTCACGCACCGCACAATTTATTTAAAGTCACGGCAGTGATTTAAGTGCCGCCTCAAATGATCTGTCAAAGTATTTCCTGCAAACAATCTAAGACTGTGATACAAAATAAGAAGAACAACTTAACAGAAAACCATGTGACTTGGCACACTAGTGAGGTTTAACTGCTTGGGAATAACCCCCCCAGAAAAAAATGGGTATTTTGTCATTTGAAGTCATTTAATTTTTGATACCTCAGGACAGAAGAGTAATGTTATTAGGCACTCACTTTGTCAATGGGTAAACACTAACACAGAGAGGGACACACAAAAACAATGGACATTGGAGCTGGGTGGGGGGGGGGGCGTGAGGTGGTACTGAATGAATAGAGTTAGAGCTTTGCTTAAACCTAATTAAGTACTGTCCCAAAAAACATCCAAAATTCTATTAAAACTACCTAGATGGACATTTCACATCTAGAATCCATTCGCTATGTTTGGATGCTATCAGGAAGTTGATTTCTTTACTAGCAACACAGGAGTGTCAGTGAGAGGCTAGTACTAGTACTTAAAAATTATTCTTTTACTGACAAAGTAATCAACTACCTGGTAAAGGGCAAGGTAGTCATTGGCTTATGCTGTATGTGTTATTTATTGAATCCTACATGGAGTGTATTTTAACTATTCCTAGATAAATACCAGTGCACAATGAGGAGATCTGGAGTCTAAACAATACTGGCAAGTCATTGGGATTAGTTTCATGCCTTTTGCCACGGTGGATAAATACTAGAAAGACCTGGCCACTAGAGTGAATATTATTCATGTAGTTACATCGTTAAATGTGCAAAGGTTTAAATTTAGGATCATTTAGCAAGTACAGTTGAAAACTTAATGTATATCCGAAGGAGTTAAGACAAACCTGATGTTTTATGTTGCATTGTGATTCCCCAATTTGGAGTCTTGTATGTGAGTGAGATACTTTGACCTGTGGATACAGAAATGCTTGGAACAGTTTAAAGCTTTTTTGCTTTATTGGCAGAACAAAATTATTGTACACGTGACATGATTAGTCTAAACTGACATAATTATTGTACACTTGACATCATTACTCTACACCAGGGGTCTCCAAACTACAGCCCACGAGCCGGATCCATCCCGCGGGGCCAGTTAATCCGGCCCGCCGACGGTTCTTGAATTTGCTTGATGAAACTTATGTTTACCCTCGAACTCCTAAAATCGTAAAATATTGTCTCAAAATCGTACAATACGGTATCTTAATAATAAATAAATAAAATTGTATTAATTATATATACAATATGAACTACTCACATCCAGTGCCTAGCGGGATCGAGTTAAACTGGCGTCAAAGAAGTTAACAACTACTAAAAGTAGCTTGAGGTTGATTTTTTTTTGTTTTGTTAGAAAAAGCTGGTATAATAGAATAAGAATCAATATCCATTAAGCCTTTTCCCTCTAATATGTCTGGTAACTAACACAAACTGTAAATTGGTGAAAGGGAGAGGAGTGTTGGAAACATATGGGTGCATTAAAAATCGTAGTCGCATTGCTCTCGCCCATGATGATCAGGGAATACTAAACTTTTTCCCAGAGCTTTCATTCTGGCTTGAAATTATTGTACAGAATGATTATCCGGCCCACGCTCGTCATTTGTTCCATTATCCGGCCTGCCGTGAAAAAAGTTTGGAGACCCCTGCTCTACACTGACATCAACATTGCATGCTTGTCATCAATAATCTTCCCTGACATTAGAACTAAATAACCAAAAATAATTACTTTGTGTGTTTTTTTGCTAAAATTAAGTTCACAACAGTTTAATTTTTACAATCTGGTTCTGATAAAGTATATTGTTCTGATAAGGTCGACTGTTCTGATGAGGTATACTGTTCTAAATTATATAATTTTCTGATAGGGTATATTTCAGGGTATATTTACTAGGATTGTCTATTGAGAAATCAATGAGCTAGTGCCAAAATCACAATTTTCACTTGCCAAACCTGGTTGCGCTGTGTCATGGCACTGTCTGTAGTCTGTTGTGACATTGTGTGTTACTTGTCACTGAGTCAAGTGTTCAGATTACCACACCACCAGAAACAAATTTCTACTGTTATTTTCTCCTTGCTTGTTACTGATGGATTCATTTATATTCTTTTTTTTTATATCAAAATTGTTTTATATCTTTAAAGTGTTATATTTTTTGTGTGTATATTCTTCTAGAACAAAATCATAGTTATATTGTTTCAAATAAAATTTTACGTGTACCAAATATTTATATACGGTACGTAATGACTTTTCCCCCTGTATGATTACATTTGCTAAGACTTGTTTTATGGCACACCGGTTCACACGTTTACATTGTTGACCTGATGGCCAATACGACCATGTTAGTATGGTATGTCTGTCTAGTGTGTTAAAAAATGATCAGCATTTTTTGGCGGGCTCCTCTTATAATTTTATAGTAAAACTGTACATAATATTTTTACCAATTTGTTGTAGCTTTAACAAATTCTATAAGGTTACATTTTTTGCTGGCTGTGAAAAAAAACAACATACGTTATAGTCTCTGTAATTTTGTGATTCTACAGGAACGTAGCCGAAGCGCATTTTTCAAAATCACAGTATTTTATTGTAAAACTTGCTCTAATCTATTGCCAACATTGTAAGTACTTATCTCTGATTATTGTAACAGTTAGTGGTGGCTAGTACTGTCATACTCAGTTTCCAACTTTCTTGTGTGCTTGGCTGGTAACTTAGGTCTTCTGTGTAAACTGATGATATCTGTTTACGACAATTTTTCTGGCTGGCTGTTTTGTATTTAATTAAACCACATTTTTTTTCTCTTTACATTACAACTTGGCAAGGTACATATTATGGGACAAATGGAATCTTGACTGAAGGTTTTCTTTCAGAAATCAATTGACGTATCACTGAATGAAGTGAATGTGGTTCAGCTGTTTGTAGTTGCTTATACATTGAGGGAATAAGGAGGGCACTTTGGTTTGCTATCACGAAGGGCAACTTAAATCAAATGGGGGCCGGTGAGGGGCAAAAAAATCTTTAAAATTAAATTTCTGTAAAGGTATTCACGAGTAGAAGAATGAAATAGCTTTGTATTACCCAGCAGTTGATCATCAAGGCCACATCTGTTGCAGTACCTACTTTGACTTCTCCAAGTAACCTAACCAAGGACTTCACCTGAAAAATTAAAAAAAAAAATGACATCTACAACAAGCACAAAAGAAACATTATTTTTCAAGTCAGCTTTGGCCAGAAAAGAGATCAGTTTTATAGTGTAGTGAAGAATCACATAC